ACAATCCAAAAGATCAATGAAACCAAAAGTTGGTTCTTTGAAAAAATAAACAAAATAGACAAACCTCTAGCAAGGCTCACAAAGGAAAAAAAGGAGAAAACATATTAATAGGATTATAAATGAAAGTGGAGAAATCACAACAGACTCGTTAGAAATCAAAAGAATAATAAGAGATTACTATGAACACTTATACACAAACAAATTTAACAACCTAGAAGAGATGGACAAATTCCTAGAAGGATATAATCATCCAAAGCTGGACAAAGAAGAAATAGAACAACTAAACAGACCAATTACAAGCAGTGAAATTGAAGCAGTAATCAAAGCACTCCCCAAAAACAAAAGCCCAGGCCCAGACGGCTTCACAAATGAATTCTACCAAGCGTTCAGCAGTGAATTAGTGCCTATCCTACACAAACTCTTTCAAAAAATTGAAAAAGAAGGAATACTACCAAATACATTCTATGAAGCCAACATTACACTAATACCAAAACCCAACAAAGACAGCACAAAAAAAGAAAATTACAGGCCAATCTCCCTAATGAACACTGATGCAAAAATCCTCAATAAAATCCTTGCCAACAGAATCCAACAATGCATCCACAAGATAATTCACCACAACCAAGTAGGATTTATTCCAGGGACACAAGGATGGTTCAACATCCGAAAATCAATCAATGTAATCCAACACATCAACAAAAAGAAATATAAAAACCATATGACAATATCCATAAATGCTGAGAAAGCATTCGACAAAGTACAACACCCATTTATGATAAAAGCCCTTGAAATTCTCGGGGCACAAGGAACATACCTCAACATCATAAAGGCCAACTATGACAAGCCCATAGCCAATATCATTCTCAATGGTGAAAAGCTGACAGCATTCCCATTAAGATCTGGAACAAGACAAGGATGTCCACTCTCACCACTGCTTTTCAACATAATACTGGAAGTCCTAGCCAGAGCAATAAGACAAGAGAAAGACATACAAGGAATCCAAACAGGCAAGGAAGAAGTCAAACTATCACTATTTATGGATGATATGATAATATACATCGAGAACCCAAAACTCCACAGAAAAACTAATTCAACTAATCAATCAGTTTAGTAAAGTGACAGGATACAAAATCAATGCACAAAAATCAGTAGCCTTCCTATACACAAACAATCAATCTGAAGAAGAAAAAATAAAGAAAACCATTCCTTTTATTATTGAAACAAAAAAAATCAAATACTTGGGAATAAACCTAACAAAAGAAGTAAAGGACCTATACAAAGAAAACTATAAAACACTGTTAAAAGAAATAGAAGTAGACACAAAGAAATGGAAAGACATCCCCTGCTCATGGATCGGAAGAATTAACATTATCAAAATGGTCATCCTACCAAAAGCAATATACAGACTCAATGCTATTCCAATTAAAATTTCAATGTCATTCTTGAAAGAAGTATAAAAAAATATTGATGAAATTCATATGGAGCCACCAAAAACCCCGAATAGCCAAAACCCTCCTGAAAAAAAAGAAGGGAATGGAGACATCACTTGCCCAGATTTCAAACTATACTACAAAGCCATAATCATCAAAACTGCATGGTATTGGAATAAGAACAGACACACGGACCGATAGAACTAAATAGAAAACCAAGAAATAAACCCACAGATTTATGGTCAACTAATCTTTGACAAAGGAGCAAACAATATGCACTGAAGCAAAGAAAGTTTGTTCAATAAATGGTGCTGGGAAAACTGGGTTGCTACATGCAAAAGACTGAAACTTGACTACTACCTCACACCATGCACAAAAACCAACTCAAAATGGATTAAAGAACTAGACATAAGACCTGAAACCATAAAATATATAGAAGGAAATATAGGTGAAACACTAAATGACATGCACCTCAAAGACATCTTTACAGACACATCACCCAAAGCAGTGATAGTGAAGGCAAAGATAAACAGCTGGGACTACATCAAATTAAAGAGCTTCTGCACAGCAAAAGAGACAATAACAAAAACAAAGAGAAACCCCACCGACTGGGAGAACATTTTTACACACAACACTAATGATAAAGGACTGATCACAAAAATCTACAAAGAGCTGATGAGACTCAACAACAACAAAGAAAACAATAATCCAGTCAAAAAATGGGCAGAAGAGCTAAAAAGAAACTTCTCTAAAGAGGAAATACAAATAGCCAACAGGCATATGAAAAAATGTTCAACATCACTTGTAATCAGGGAAATGCAAATCAAAACTACCATGAGATACCATCTTACACCAGTGAGAATGGCACATATTAAAAAAACTAGCAACAGCAAATGTTGGTGAGGGTGTGGAGAAAAAGGAACTCCCCTGCACTGCTGGTGGGAGTGCAAACTGGTCCAGCCACTATGGAGACCTCTGTGGAGATTTCTTGACCTACTAAACATAGAGCTTCCATATGATCCAGCAATTCCACTCCTAGGTATTTACCCAAAGGACACAGAAACATCAATTCCAAAGAGCACCTGCACCCCTATGTTTATAGCAGCACTGTTTTCAATAGCTAAGCTTTGGAAACAACCCAAATACCCAAAAATAGATGACTGGATCAAAAAGATGTGGTACATATACACTCAGCATTCAAAAAAGATAACACATGAAATGTGCAGCAACATGGATGGAGCTGGAGAGGATCATGCTCAGCGAAATAAGCCAGAGAGAAAAAGAAAAATTCCAGATGGTCTCACTCACAGCAGGAATCTAGAAAACCTAAATAAGGGACCAGGTAAAAGAATAACTATAAGAAAGAAAAAATCAAAATCAGCAAACAACTGTGAACCAGAGACACACTTGGGGGGTGGGAGACAGGGAAAGGAGGGGTTAGGGTCAAAATAAGGGGGTTGCAATTGTATGGAAAATACAAAAATAAAATTTAAAAAAATTTTAAAAAAAAGCTAAATTGAAAGTCATTGGAAATTTTATGATGTTGAAAAAGTTTAATTCTGCACTGTCTAGTAGAAAGGATGCTAGCCACATGTGGCTATTGATTTGTGCAACTGAGAAACTTGATTCTTCATTCCACTTAATTTTAATAAATTTAAGTTATATAAATAAAAATATAAATGGATCTTTAAAAATTCAATAATAATGGTAAAAAAATAACAAACCCATGAGACAAAAAGACAAATTATCCAATATTAAAATATAGTTAGGAAAATTCACATCAAAATAGATTAAAATATTCATATGAAAATATGCCCATCTTCACAAATATCAGGAGCATTTTAATCAAAAGAAGAAAAAAATATTTTTCATCCATTAGATTAATATAATATTTTAAGTGTAATGTCAGTAGCCCTTAACAATGAGAAGCATGCACTCTTTATTACTGAGGAGAAACTATAAATTGGTAAGTCATATTGGAAGCTAACATAAGTAACTCTTTAAAATTGTTACCTTCTGTCCCAGAAATTTAATGCCTAAGCATATACTACAGAGAAATATATTACAAAGGGTCCACAGGATGTTATTCTGTCCTCATTGTTTGTAACTAGAAAAAAAAGAGTAACTGTCTTAAGTATCCTTTATAGGTAAATGGATTGTGGAAGTAGAGATTAGGTGTGGCTGTAACTGATATAAAGGTACCAATTAGAAAAGTTTCAAATATTTATTTATGCAAAAACTGAAGTTACACATTTCCTGTAGCTATATGTCAACATTCATAGAAAAAGGTATAGATAGAAAGTTAACTGGTACATCCAGGAAGGGTGTTGAGAATGAAGGTGAGACTTATCTCATATTTTTACAAATAAAATATAACCATATAGTACCTTTGCAATTTACATTTTTTTTTAATAGAGGCATGTTTTATTTATTTATTATTTGTTTGTTTGTTTTTTTGTTTATACAAGCACTGGGTACAGTCAGAAGCGCAGGAGGGTGAGAGAATTCACCAGAGCCTGAGCGGGGAGCAGAGCAGGCAGAAGGACCGAAGTACACTGCTGAGGGGAGCAGCGGACAGCAGGAGGGGTCTGCGCGCCATGTGGGACCCTGGTGGCTGGGGAGCAGCCGGGGATCGAAACAGTGCCCCAGAGGCCACGGGCAGCTTTGCAACCCAGCGCTCAACCGCTGCGCCACCGGGGAGGCCCTGCAATTTACATTTATAAAAAAAGCATTATGCACAGCTTGATACACTTTAAGAAAAAATACATATACAACACTATCCTTTGTATTTTATTTTTTTAAGATTTATTTATACAAGAATCAGGGCACAGCACAGGCCAGATGTGCGGGAGGGTGAGAGGATTCACCAGAGACAGAGCGGGGAGCAGAACAGGCAAACGAACCAAAAGCATTGCTGAAAGGAGCAGCGGGCGCGGCAGGAGAAATGCGTCATGTCATGTGGGTAACTGTGGCCGACCAGGATCGAGCAGGGCGGGAGTTGAACCTGGGCGGGGAGTGAACCGGCACTGCAGATGCTGGGACACCTTCACAGTGCTGCGCTCAACCGCCTGCACCACCAATGAGGCCCTCCTTTGTATTTCTTTACCCTTCCTTCTTTGATGGCAAACACACAGGAATGGTACTGGAAAAGTACCTGCCAAAACAATGCTGTGATATTATCTAAAGATATCTCCAACAAAAACAATACTCACCTTTTGTATTCTCATTTAAAAAGAGAAGAAAATCCAGTTCAAGATGTATCAAAGCAGGGCCTCCCTGGTGGCACAGCGGGTTGAGTGCAGCTGTGAAGCTGTCCGCAGCCTCTGCAGCACCAGCTCCATTCCTGGCGGGCCAGGTTGATTCCCACATGGCAAGCAGACCTCTCCTGTGACGCCTGCTGCTCCCTTCAGCTGCTCCCTTCGGTAGTCTGCCTGTTCTGCTCCCTGCTCTGTCTCTGGTGAATCCTCTCACCCTCCTGTGCATCTGGCCTGTACCCCAGTGCTTTTATAAATAAATCTTTAAAAAAAATCTATCAAAGCAATACAATTTCAATTTAGAAGATTTATTGTTTTAGTTATTTACAAACTTTGCATAGGACATGATTGTATATCAGAATCTTGCATTTCTTTAGAATATGGTATTTGGGGCAGAGAGAAAAAGTTTTTAGAGTTAGAACTTGCCTGTTAACAATCCAGTAAATGGCTTTAAGTTTCTAACACTTCTAAAAGAAAAACAAAACTGAGAGTATACCAGATAATTCCTTAGTTCACTAATTCCATTTTACACCATTAAAAACACTTCCACATTTAAAACCATCATTGATCAACTCCTTGTGAAGACTGTTCATTCTGGAGATTGTTGTGTAAAATCATCTGACCCTAATGAGCAAGGTATTGACATTTAAATACAACCATTTTATGAATGATACTACTTTTGAGTGTACAAATTAAACTACTTCTAGATCACTACTTTTAAGAATTGCTTATTTTTAATTCATATTACTGAAGTCTTGAAAGATGAGAAGATGCTTGAGAAATGATAATAGAGAAATTCCCAGAGCTATCTTGTTTCGCAATGGTGGTGAGAGAACGTATAGTCAGAAGTTTTTTCCCAAATATAAAGGTCATCATTGAGGAAGAAGAGCCTCAGAATACCATCTATGTAATTTGGAATTTCCCTCACCTCTCTTAGGTATCTAATCAATTGTCTCCTACAGCAATTTGCCTTGTAAAAGTGCCTCTCAAATTCCTAATAAAAGAACTCCCTTTATAGAAAGGCTACAACAAAGAAAGCACTAAGGCAGTGTTAAAAAATCCAGGTTGACATCAGCAGCTTCCTTCTCGGCAACAAGAGGAAGTGCCCATGTCAAACACGTAGTTAGTTCTAAGTGTCAATAACCCATGTTTTCATCAAAGGACAAAAAACAAGGGGACACACACACATCCCTTTGTGTGTGTGTGGTTTTCCTTTTTTTTTTTTTTTTTATTTTCTTACATTGTTGTTGATTTTTGTACAGTATTTGGTTTTTCCCTTCAAGTGTAACCCGGGGAATTCTCCCAGCACTGTATCACCCATGAACTGTCACCAGAGTCCCTTCTGTTCTTCCCTTTCCTGTTTTGATCCCTCTCTTTGCCCCTCCCTTGCTGTAGGCCTCAGATCTAAAGTGCTTGCAAGTTTTGGGGTCATTTGTTTCTCTTCAAATCATTAAAGTACTTTTCTAAGTATACTACATATCAGTTTGATCTTCGCTTTCATTCAGCAATTCCTGACACAAAATGCTCAGCTTCTCAAACAACCTAATTTGGTGATGACAATTCAAAAAAAGTCATAGACAAGTAATTAAAGCAAAGAGAATAGGTAAATAATTTATTTGAGTAGATTCTTTAAATCTTTAAGACAAATGAGAGGTGTAATTCCATTTGCAGAAGGGAGTTAGCATTTAAAGTGGAGAATTACTGACTAGTCAGTAATATAACATTTACTTTTTCACACTGAAACATGGAAAACAAGATATGTGTTAAATTGAACTCACTGAAAAGTTTTTTTTATTTATTTAGTGACTAATTTTATAACAAAGCACTTTTTATATAATTTAAAACACACATGTTTTGATTGAAGAGTGATTGTAAATGGATCCAGTTTTCTTCCACCTGTGGTAACAACTCTGTCATTTCTTCTAGGAGTACTGGCTCTGAAGGAAGCACTTTAAGGTGTAACTAGAAAGAAAGAAAAAAAAAAACATGATAGCCAAACATACAAGAAAACAAAAATTTTGTCTATTCTGGATTCAACATCTCTACCAAGGAACCTCAGAAAATATTTTCTGATAATTTTTCTTAAGTGCTGATTTAATGCCAGCTCTCATTTCCCTTTTCTCAATCAATTTTTGTTAGTATGAATTCCTTTGTGGTACTGTGACTTGCATAGTAGAACTGAAATGAAGATGACCACTTTCCTCCACCTAGGGCTGTCCTGATCCAGATTCAGAAGCAAGGTTGTAATTCTAACCTTACTCCTTATTTCTTCTTTCATTGTAACCCACTGGTAATGAACAACAAATGGGCCCTTTGTTGTATTTTCTAAAGATTTAATAAATAAATACACATTCAGGAAGTAAGTTTGGTAAATATGCAAAAGGACACAGAAAAAACTTGATATTTGTTTTGTTAACTCTGTATGCTATTACCTAAATACAATTATATCATGAAATTCTATTCTAGGTATTAGTAGGCTAGAGGGAGAATCATATCTAATATCACTGAAAATCAGTATCAGCTACTTTCAACACATACCACACTATTAAACCATTAAATAAACATGAATAGTACATCAGTCAGTCATAAAAGCAGCTCTGTTATTGCCCAATCACTTCAACCAGGACAAAACTACCGAGAAATACTTTGATTTCATCAGTAGAACAAAACAAAATATGTAAAATCTGACTTTCTCTTCACGATTATAAAAAAACTGCCAAAATGTTACTTCAAAAATTAATAGTTTAGTATTCTGGATCAAATGGATGATACAGGAAAGTCAGAGGATTAAAACAAAATTGCACTGAGTTAAAAATTCACATAGCAATCATATAAGCCACATTTCAATTTCTCTGCAGCTTATGCAGCCAGTGGCTTCCACACTGAAAAGAACATTTCAATCTTTGTAGAAAGCTCTACTAGATAACACTATAATTGGGAGGCAAGCTAGAAAGTACTGTCTTACGTTAGACTTACCTTTAAAAACAATGCAAGGTATGCCTGTGCTAATTCAAAATCACGCTTTTTATCCAACATCATCCCGATCATTTTTAAGAAGCTCTGCATGACTTCTACAGACCCACCACAATCAGGAGACAAGCTTCGCAGCTCTGTTTCAATTCCTGAAGGGCCTAATTCTTTCAGAAGGTTAAAAGCAGTCATATCTGCATTAAGTTTTTAAAAAGAATCCAGTTATTACCTACAATCACTACACTTGGGAAACTCTAGCTGTCATTTCATATCTTAAGCAACATGTATTTAAATTACATAGGAAATTATTTTTGAGGATTCATTTATCCTGCTAAGTAGTAGAACAAACCCCAAATTAAATAAAAATTACTATAAAGAATGAGAGCAATTTTAAAAGCACTAAATATTTTGTATTTTCTGTGATTTAACTTTTTCCTGCTGTTAAAGCTGAAGAAAATCTAATTAATGCCTTCCATTAGATATTTAAAACACACTCATAAATCAGTAAGAAAAAAATCCAAATATAAGAATATAAAGGTGCATACCAAACTATTAACAGTAACTGTAACCATTGGAAATACGATGGGGTGGGGAATTTTTTCTTTTTTTTCTTATTATAAAAGTTATAGAAGTACTACATAATCAGTAAGAAACACTAACAATAGAAATATATAAGAAGGGAAAGAATCCACCATATTCTTACCTACCCTAAAATGACTTCTTTTCCTTAAATCACGCACTACTATAAGAGCATCCTACAAATACATTATCCATATACTTAACCACAATTTTTATATGATGAATTTATATTACAATGGGAATAACTGTGCTTTTGGCTTTCTGAAAAGAAACCTAACAAAAGTCTAAGAAATCTTACTTTCTATCCTCTAGTATATACTAAAAAGTGTTTTTTTCTTTGTGTCCCTCCCCCATAAATATAACAAATTCCTCCTTCTATCGTCCTGCTATTCTTTAGTCATGTACAATGGCCCAATGGCACCATTATTTCACTTTACAAAGAGATACTGGTACAAAAACAAAAGCAATTGGATCAGAAAGCTAGATAAGTTAAGCAGAAGAGTGACTGTGATTTTGTTAACTACTATTTATCATTATTGGCTAGAAACTATTTCATTATTTATAATGAATAATTTATCATTATCCATTTATTGTAATAAATGAAGAATACAGTATAGCTAAAATGTATTTTATTAGCTACAAACTACAAAAAATTTCCTTTTTTATAGAATTTGGGACTATCCAAAATTTCTTGCAAACTCTATTCATAATCAAAAAAGAAAAAAAAAATTCCATACATAAAGTGAAACGTTCTCAATAGATTGTAATATCTCTTCTGAGTATGGAGTCATTCATTTAACATACAAAAGGTAAAGTTACTTCAGAATAAAACCAAAAATTCAGTCCTTTCAATTTTACTACCTTCTTTTAGATACAGAAAAATCTTCCACTACTTCATTTGATTTCTCTTTATATAAAATAAAATAGCGAGAGATACTATGTAATTGATAATTTAACTTACATTCATTATTTACCAATCCTTCTTCAAGTTTCATGCAGAAATCTGATTTTTGAGCCAAAAATCCAATATTTACCACTTTAGACTTAAACAACAAAAAGATACACATTAGTCAAAGAAGACAAAAATGTTTTTTATCAAAAAAGGTTTACTTTATAATTAAAAGCAATCATTAACTTACTATAATCATTAATTTATTATAACCTCTGTAAAACTGGCTATTGGTAAAGAAAGAGGAATACACAACACAAAAATATACCAAATATACTTAGAATGTTCCAATTGGTTTTTACCTGTTGGGGATCACTATTTTGCTCAGGTGCAGCATATCTAGGCACAAGACCAGGAACCGTTGGGATAAAAAATGGTGCTGATTTGGGTACTTTGGGTGGTTCCTTTGGTTTATTCTTTTTCTGATAAAGAAAAAATGAGACAAATATTTCAAGTAAGTAATAACCTTATCGGTTTCTAATATTAAATTTCAAATCAATTTTAAAACAACACCTAAAAGTAAAAAAGGAAGGAAACTTTTTCAGATGAGAATACAAAAATAAAATCTCATCAGACCAATACCACAGATATCCTTAAAGTGGGCTTACCAGTGCAGCCCTCCAGAAACATTAATATTTAGTTGAAGAATTAAGTCAATCTGAACTTTTACACTTTAAATACAACTTTTCTGGGTCTCCCTGGTGGCGCAGCGGTTGAGCGCTGGGTTGCGAAGCTGCCCGCTGCAACGCCGGTTCCATCCCCGGCCCCAGGGCGAGGGTTCCACATGGCGTGCAGACTTCTCCTGCCGCCCGCTGCTCCCCTCAGCAGTGTACTTTGTCAGTCTGCCTGCTCTGCTCTGCTCTCCGCTCTGCCTCTGGTGAATTCTCTCGCCCTCCCGCGCTTCTGACTGTACCCCATGCTTGTATAAATAAAATAAAATCTTTAAAAAAAAAAATACAACTTTTCTTTTCTTTGCAAAATGAGCTAGAAAGCAAAATTAACATAAGTCCTCAACAGTTTTTCAAATTTCTTTTCTCTGAAAGAAATTTGGAGTCAGTAGACTTTGCCATTAGAAGTAAACTAGGGCCTCCCTGGTGGCAAAGGGGCTAAAGTCTCAGCGCTATCAAGCTATCACCAGCCACTGCGGCAGGCGTTCAATCGCAGGCCAGGGAGCTGACCCATATGGCACAGCAGACCTCTTCTGTCTCACCCACTGCTCCTCTCAGCAGTAGATCTCAGTAGATCTGCCTGTTCTGCTCCCTACTGTCTGGTGAATACTCTCACGCCCCTCCTTGCACCTCTGGCCTACACCCCAGTCCTTGTATGCATAAATAAAATAAAATTAATCTTTAAAAAAAAAAGTAAACTAGTGAATTTTTTTTTTTTTGTGAAGCATACTGCATTTTTTTCCTTTGCATTTCTAAGAGAACACTATTGCTATTTTATAAAACATCTTAAGTTTTACTAAAATTTTATCAGGGAAACCTCCACTGGAAGTTTCCTTTTCCATTCTTTAGTAGTTCTATAACCCCACGGAGATTTTATGAAAGAAAGCCAGAATACCTGTGACTTCATGAAGGTACAGCATAAAAGACATTATATGAAAGCAAGATAAACTGCTGCCAACTGCAGCAGTGTAATCATGTCCTTTGGAATAGAAGAAACTATAAAATTTACACTGTCCTTCTAACTCACTGATCTTGAGTTTGAAGGGGAACAGTCACTGAGTTGTAAATAAAAGCATCTGGAGAAGCACCATAGGCCTCTGAAAATTATATATATATAAAATATATAATTCCTTAATGATATAATTCCTTAATGTAAATTCCTTAATGATAAAGAGGCTGTTTTTCCCCCCCCAAAGTTCAGAAACATTATCTAGTACCTAGTACAGGGAAAATACGAAAATTCTAACTTCTTTCATTTAGTAGAAAATTAAAAGACTACAGGTTTTAGCAGACTTCTTTCCTAAAGATCATCCACTCAGGTTTCTATATTAAGATTTGGTGTAGAACAAACTATATTTAGCAAGAGGCAGAGTAGTCCAAAAACTTAGCTCAATTAATTTAAGGGCATTATTCTGATTGTTCCCTTCATACTCATATACTTGTATTTCTTAATGCACTGCTTTTAAAACTATTTTAGAAGTATTCGTTTCAGACCTGACAGGTCAGACAACATGATGGAGATACACTATGCTTTTAGACAGCATATCTTTTTTTTTTTTTAGAGATTTATTTATTTTTATACAAGAACCAGGATACAGGCCAGATGCACGGGAGGGTAAGAGGATTCACCGGAGACAAAGCAGGAAACAGAACAGGCAGACCAAGGAAACACACTGCTGAGGGGAGCAGCAGGAGAGACAGGAGAGGTCTGCCACGCCATTCGGGATTCTCACCAGCTGGCTGGCCGGCTGGGATTGAACCCACGCTGCAGAGGCTGCAGACAGCTTCACAGTGCAGCGCTCAACCATCTAGGGGGCCCCTAGGCAGCATATCTTTATGTTGACATCTAATCTCTCAAAAAGCAAGCAAAAAGAAGTATTTCTATGTTCTGTGAGGAAAATTAATATGTCACCTTCTTTATTCTTAACCAAGACACACATTATCTTTTCTGGTACTAAGTTTAGCTTGAGGAAACCAAAACTTACCTTACTAGAGGAAGGGATAACCTCTGAAATTGTCTAGTCTATTCCTCTCAATTGCTTTTGCTACTCACAAATGGGGATCATGAAACTTGCTTTGAAAACCACTAATTTATGCCATAATCATCCTTTTCTCATGTAAAACTGTAAATTCCTTAATGATAAAGAGGCTACTTAGAACTAGATGACTGGTGAAAGTCATCTAGTTCCCAAATGCCTAAGAATAAAAAAATCCCATATTATGGCAGCAATCCCCCCACCCTGTTTGATAAGCTTAAAAAGTACTTCAATAGACTAGATTTGAAACATCCAATTTCTAACAGTTATGCATTACAAGCTGGACTTTTGCTTTATTTATAGGTCTGCTGAGTGCTTTCAAGGTCTCTATATAAATATAAAACAGTGATAATCACAGTTCAATTAATCACATTCAATTAAATGGTGTTCTTGCTACCCTAGTCATTAATTACGCCTCTTCGTAAGCCCTCTAAGTAGGGGAAGCTACTGCTGCTAAAGAAATGGTTCTGAAATGTATCTTTAGGGGCCAATTCTAAGTGCACTATAATATTACCTTGATAACATCCAGATTAAGAAGGTTTTTCCACCGTGACTCAGGGAGAAGTGATAATGTCACCAACTGCTCGTTGAGTTGTTCTGGGGAATCATACGTCACCATTTCATCATTTTGTTCTATAGTTTCTTCTGATAATTCTACATCTTAAAGAAAAAAAAAATAAGGTAATTAATGAAAATGAGATTTTTATCATAAAAGCAATATATTAATAATTCATTTCAAATCCATTTGTATTTCATAACATGCTCACTCACTACAGTCTTATAAATTCCAGAAATATTTCCTTACCCCCTCCTTTTATACTTATTTTTTCATATACATGACAACTCCCATTCCAAGACCCAAAACAACTCTCTACTGGGATATGACTAGCTATCAATACAAAATCAGTAATATTTTTGTATAAGTTCATGAAATGTTAAAAAGTACTTTAAATGTACTTAACTTTACCTTCAGTAACAATGTTAGGTAAATGATATTACATCCAAAAATTATTTTACTATTTTTGATTACCTTGTGTTTGACAAGTACCAGGTAGTGTTACTACTGAAGGAACATAATCTACAGGAAGTGGCCGCAATGAAACAACTGAATACAGGGAAATGTTGGACCTGACAAATAAAAACATAAGCAATATTTTAATTAAAAAAGCTTTTTCAGAGACTTCAATTAGTAATAATAATGCATAAATCTTGAATTTAACTACAAATTCTAAGCATAAGAAAAGACCTCATAGATAGATAGCATTAATTTGAAAATGCTTTAACTCATGTCACAGATGTTATCACAAGAAAGATGTACATAATAATGAGTCTTTATTTTGTATCATTTGAGAGCAAAGTAGTAGATAATACTTAAGTGAATAAGACTTCTATTAGTTCCATATAGATTATTGTTTTAACAAATGTCAACTTTCGTTCAAATAAATCATAAAAGATGAACTCATTAGATCTTCAGGGTGACTGAATAGTCATAGATTTCCCTTTCTCTAAAATGGTCTCCTAACTGGCCATGTTTCTATTATTTGACCCAGCACGATGGCCTTGGATGATTAAGATACAAATGCCTATCCCAAAGCTGGCTAAACAAACTGTCTCTCCCATCCAATCATGAATCTGGAATGGAAAATAAAAATTGGGAATCTCAGGTTCTAAGTTATATTACTATCAGTATTATATACTTGTGCTGCTCAGGTCCCATAGCTACTATTCTTATTTTGACCAATCCTCATGAATTCTAGGATATACTCATTTTGCTTATTAAGAGCACCAAAAGTTATTTCTCATATATTGAATCTACTTTTTTATCTTAAAAATCCAATTATAAAATTTTATAGTTAGAAAAGGATTAAATTTTTTCTCTACCTCAATAAGAGCTAAAACAATTAAGACATCTGAACTGAGGAAAGACAAAATTTTTTCTAGATCAAGAGGATATGACATTTATTTTGAATGACCACAGATTCTTACAGGCTTATCAGTGGAATTAAAACATCACCATAAATATAAAGGTATAGTCATGAATAATTATGTAATTAGAATGAATCTTAGAAAGCACTATCCTACATTTATGCCTGATTTTATAGAAAAAGTAGGTTGAAGTTGAAAACCGACAGGCCATGATCATAAAGCAGTAAGTAGTGGGGAGATGGCAGGAAAGTCAAGGCCTGGCTATGGACTCCTCTTTTCCTTTCTGAAGCTTTTAAATTCACTTACCCTTTCAGAAAACAAAAGCCAAACAAATAAAAACAAACTATGTGTTTTAGGATATGACTTGGCAAAACTAAATTGGAAAGCAGATGTTGAATCAGTCATAGACTGAATTAACTTTCAGGGTTAACTTTGACATTTCCATTTTATACATTTTTTTTTTTTTTTAAACTTAAATGAAGACAAGCTCTCCTGCCCACCTGTGGGCATTACGCAGGTGCTTCTCTTCATCAACCTTCTCCCTTTGCAAAGCAGCAAAGGCAGCTTTCTACCCAAGACTGCCCACCTGTCACTATGTAGGCCTCTCTTTTGGCAAACCTGTCCCTTTTAGGGGGCAGCTCTTTCTGCCCACTTGTTTCTGTGCAAATGTCCTTTACCTCCCTTTCCTTTTTAAGTGAGCCTGCCCTTTTGAATATTAAAAAAAAAAAAAAGTTAAATGACTATGTCAACAACTATATCTGACAATATTATCTTCTGTCTCTTCTTTACCCAAAACAGAACTGTATGAAAACACTCACCATAGATAAATTCCAAGGTGGTCCACATGGGAAGTGGCTAGAAAGTCTCCAGTTGGGGACATAGTGACATTGAGAGGAGCAGAGTCCAATAAAAAGCTGTCAATAAGGCTATACAAAGACAGAAGGCATTTAAATTCAGAAGGTATTTAAATTCTACCGAAACTGACAGAATTTACAAAATGCATTTTTGCTGAAAGAAAAATGGATAAGACATGCAAAGTATTTGTTTTTTTAATCACTAACATCAGAAAGCAATCACTAATAGCTTTGCCAAACTAATTTACTATGTGAAAATAAATTCTCTTAATGAGAAAGTCCAGAACACTAAAATAGGCCAATTAACTGGAGAAGGCCTTTCAACAACAGAAAGAATACCAGAGGAAATGGGAGAATCTGAAGACATAACACATTTTAAATAAACCTAATCATCATTACTCTGTATTGTTATTCCAATTAAAATAATAAAAGGCTTAGGCATCATAAGGAAGTAGTGAAAAAGAACAATTGTGAATAAAAACAAGAAAATAGTAATGAAGAAAACTGAGTAAATGACCTGTTTTTTCAAATAAGTAACAATGCTATACATAAAACACTCAATTTCAATCTATACAACAAAACCACCAAGTGGCTTATGGAAGCAGTCCCAGAGCTTTAAAATGCTACAGGAACTGAGGAGGATAGGGGGAACACGCACATTCAGATAGAAGATTCCAGGCCATCTCAGAAAACACAAATGTTTGAGATGAGCCTTAACAAATAGACAGGATTTCAAAGCATGCTGACGGTAAAAAGAAAGCATTTCTTGGCTGACAAAGATGTGGCAGGAAGGCAGGGAAAACGGTCTAGCGAAGAGTACGGTTTGGTGCAAAAGCAAAATGCTGTGAACAGGGTCTTAAATAGCAATTTATTGAGATTGTTTTTATCTTTTAATCAGTGAATAGTTGCTGAAGATTTGGGGGCAGATAGTGGTATAATTTTCACTTTCCTAAGAAAATTTTTCATTAGCACACAATTGAAAAGAGGAACAGTGAGGTTATAGTGGTTGTCATCTAAAAAGATCTGGGGCCTCCCTGGTGGCACAAGGAGTTAAGACGCAACCTACGAAGCTGTCCGCAGCCTCTGCAGCACGAGTTCGATCCCCGGCCGACCAGGGAGAACCCACATGGCGCAGCAGATGTCTCCTGACTCAAACGCTGCTCTCCTCAGCAGTATACTTTGGTCATCTGCCTGTGCTGTTTCCCACTCTGTCTCTGGTGAATTCTCTCACCCCCCACACCTCTGGCCTGTACCCCAGCTCTTGTATGATAAATAAATCTTTAAAAAAATAAATAAATAAAAAGATCTGAACTAGGAAGTTGCTGGTAGCAAGAGAAAAAAGGTGGATTTAAAGAGAAGAGAAGAAGGTCTAACATTGACATCCTTCAGGAGAGGCCACAGGCTGGCTAAGAGTGAGAATACTCTCATTAATCTGCCTTTGGGAGGGTATAATGGTTTTAACCATAGCTGATGTGAAAACTATTTCATTCACTGACACCAACACATTATCCATGGGAAAGCACAGAAAAGAACTGAAGTACATTAAATAAAACTATTTTTTTTAAAGATTTATTTATTTATTTATACAAGTACTGGATACAGTCAGAAGCTCGGGAGGGTGAGAGAATTCACCAGAGCCAGAGTGGGGAGCAGAACAGGCAGAAGGACCAAAGTACACTGCTGAGGGGAGCAGCAGGCGGCAGAAGAGGTCTGCGCGCCATGGGACCCTCGCCCGGTGGCCGGGGATCGAACCGGTGCTGCAGAGGTTGCAGGCAACTTTGCAGCCCAGCACTCAACTGCTGCGCCACCAGGGGAGGCCCCACTAATTATTTTTTTTTAAAACTATAATAAAATATGGTAAATTATAACTATTTTTCTGAGAGAAACATTAATAAAATTCCCATTCTAAGGGATTAGTGCTTCAGAGGAAGCACTAATAGGAAGTAGGAAGTAGTCTAAACACTTTAGTCTATCAATTCACCCTCAAAACCCTCACTGGGGCAGTGTTATCCTTCTTGTATCAGAACTCAGAACACATCATATTTAAAAACTTGCTCAGGGTTAAAAGCAACGAGCCAGTACTGTCACCAGAGCAGTCTGCTCTATTAATAACTATAAACTCTAGTAAAGCCACTATGTAAAGGCACAAGAAGCAGCAGGACAGCACATACACACCCAGGGGCTGCCTACACTACTGACTCACAGAACAAGCTCCAAGCAGACTCAGTATAAACAAAGACTCTCCAGTGGAGACAGTAGGGACTTTTCAATGATAAAACATCTATCTCAATTTGTCCATAGAGTATTAAAAATGTAAATCTTAAATAATGAGTGCCAGATAGGAAGGGAAAATTAAAACAAGGAACACTAGAAATAAACTCAGGCTAAAGTAGACTCAGAACAATGACTATTACTGAATTCCCAGTTATGGGAAAAAAGATGAGGAATAACCTGATTTCTGCTCAAACCTTCAAGCAATGGTTTCCATTGGAGAATCAAGAGATCAAGGAATTAGAAAACATTAGCTAAACACTTAAATTACTTGTATAAACTCATTTACTCCAAACCATGAAGAAACACTATCTGAATATATATACACGAAGATTAAACCTAAAACACTCATCTTTGTTTTGATCAATTTCTGTTCATCAAAAGTGTAAGTATGGGAGAAATGAAACTTCCAAACATGTTTAGTAACTGTTAAAACAGAGAATCTACTGCTTGGGCAAATTTACTTTACTTGATACTATAATTGTCAAGTTTATTGTGCAACTTGATTTCCACAGCTGTTGTGTGGGTAGACTAGTCTTCCATTATTTAAAAACATCAAATTGAGGAAGGTGGTTTCCACACATACAGCATATTTTATACTGTCATATTAGTTCATAGAGCATATGTATACAGGCTTAATTCCAGATTAATTACCATACAGCCTCCTGCTAATTCTATAAAATGAAAAGTCACAGGTAAATTATAATTATTTTCTGAGAGAACAGAAATAAAATTCCCATTCTCAGGAATCAGTGTGATAAGCAAAGAGCCCTACACATACAGCTAAACTCTCAGTAAGTCATTTCTGATTATGTTCTTAACAAATGCAGATAGTTTCTAAAAGTTCTATCACCAGAAATGGAATCACCTAGAGAGAAATTTTTAATGAACAGAACAACATGATGCTTTCACAATACAATGTTCTACTATAATTTTTCTCATGTAATATGCCTCAGAAAATAGGAACCAGGAGATGAGAGAATAAAATAAAAAATCCTATTAAACTACTTTATAATCATCTCACTCTCAAAAAGTTCAACCTAGATTTCCAATAGATCAAAAACAACCATAAATAAAAAATGGTGGTGGTTGTAGATGACAAAGATAACTATAGAGATAAAAAATATCAACTGTTTCTCTGAGAATCCTACAAACACAAAACAATACTTAACAATTTAAAAAAAAAAAACAAAAACTTTACAGGAAACAGTTCAGTACCTATGCAATTTGTTTTAAATAGGCACAATTCCAGATGGATGCACCTGTATGTTACCACACCCAATGGTTTATTCAGAGATAGTTTCACTTTCCAGGCTCTGTAATGAGTATATTCATTCCTTAAATATTTAACATGCCATATAAATGATAAAATTGCTTATTGAAGAAGACTGAGGAATCTCCAAATTTTGCTACACTAATTATGTTTAAAAAGGGGGGCATCAAAAAACCTAAATTACTATGGTTAACTCCTCACTTCCTTAATATCTTCTATATCAATAAAATCAATTCAACCTTAGAATATATGACACAATGTGAACAAGGCTGACATCACAACTATTGGGAACTCTACTTCTGTCTCCTATACTTATTTTTGTTTTCTATTTACAAACTATACCACCTTGAGAAAATCACTGTAAAATGGGATTAAATACAGTAATACTATCTATACCTATCAGGAAATGAGAAAAGATGAAAAGTAAAAAATATATAGCATCTCATGATAAATGTTACTTTAGTTGTGATTAGGCAGCAGCAGTTGTGTGATACTACTTTTCAAACTTTCACACTTATTCCACTTAAAATCTTTTTTCTTTTTAAAAGATTGATTTATTTTATACAAGAACCGGGGTACACGCCAGATGTGCAGAAGGGTGAGAGGATTCACCAGAGACAGAGCGGGGAACAGAACAGGCAGACTGATGAAATACACTGCTGAGGGGAGCAGTAGGCAAGACAGGAGAGGTCTGCCGCACCATGTGGGACCCTCGCCAGCCAGCCGGGATCGAACCAGTGCTGCAGAGGGTACAGACAGCTTCATAGCACGGCGCTTGACCGCCTGTGCCACCAGGGGAGGCCCTCCACTTAAAATCTTAACCAGAGAAGTACTAATGTTTTTCTTTGGTAAAATTTTTTTTTTCCAGTGTGTATTTTAGTTTTTTAACAACTCATTTTTAACAAGTGAGTTTTATATGAGTAATTTCTTGCTCTTGCGTTTATCCCGGCTTTAAGCTTTTCCATTCACTTAAAATTGCCTGAGTGTTCACCAAAAAATAAGATACAAGAGTTGAAAATCCATCTGATTTAAATGTTTTGCTTTTTACTAAAATAAGAAACTTAGCAAAAAGGAATAATGCTGAGTCAAAAGTCAGTGTTTTTCAATGCTACTTTCAGATCCTAATTCTTCCATTCTAAAGACAAAACTCACCATATTTTAAAAATATTTTGGCAATTTTGTATTCCTAAGTAGTAATCTCTCTCCCCCATTTAACATGAACTAAAGTACACGTAAGTGGAAAATGAAAAGGGTATTATTCGGTCAACTTTATTATTTGAAGCAACTTTCCTACTGTAAAAGCAATTCAAGCTACAATGTTCACTTTTAGAAAAAGGCAAAGGTCCAAGAAGCAAGGGACTACTAATATTTCTAATGGTGCCCCTAAATTCATTTTTTATTTTTAAATTAATTGCTAACTTTTGTTGAGCTTTTTGAGGTTGAAGTACACAGCCATCACACTTTATTTTATCCACACCCGTGGACAAAAGTCCCTAGTTAAGACAGCTGGACCCAACGACAACACTCTTTGCTGTGCATATTCCAAATCTAGTATGTATGTGGGTAAGTAGGTAGGTGTGCCTCATTCCTATATCACCATTGAAGGGAAATGAATACATCAGGGTTTTTCCTTTCTAAAGGTCAAATGCTTTCAGGTATGAGCTTATCCAATTTCTGAGAAAGAAGAGGAAAAATAATTGAACAAAATTAATTTAGAAATATTTCAGAGAATTAAAAAGTATTATCTTCCTTCTCATTTCTTTCACCTTGCTCTTTCCTGATGGTAAGTTTCTGTTAATTTAGATGCTTTGTTATTATCAAAACATGCATTCTTTCATGCTTTAAGTAATTCTAAGTGAAGTAATTTAAAAATGTATCTATTCCAACATAACTGAACAACAAAGCATGACTGCACTCAGGCACAAGTGGGCCCCACATACGCTCTAGGTCTCCACTGTTCAAATGATTTAATGAATTTAGATATTGTTTTCTCATCAAGTGCTGTTTTAGTAGCTAGTTTCAACAAGGGAAACATTTCTGAACACAGCTTGGTATTACCCAAATCTTAAGACACATTTTTATCACTGTATTTAAAATGTCTTCTTTCAAGATTTATGTTACAGAGAAAATAAAATTTATGCAAAGGAAAGTTAGGTTTTTGATTTTTTAAACTTTTAAAATCCAGTATGAACTAACAATAAAAATTCCTCAAAACGTAAAGTTTAGTCATAAAACCTGAACTCTATTTTGTAGTAGTAAAAAGGCAAAAGAGCCTTCTTAAGATTTATGCAACACAGTTCTATATTTCCCTTTGGCAATAAATGAAAACCTAGTAAAGACTGCATTTTCCTCACTATTATTTTTTATGGTACTGCTCTCTGCTGTTTTAAAGAGATGGAAAACATTACAAGGTTAAAACAGAATTAGGTTAAAAAAATTCACAAATAGATCCATTTACAAAAATCACATAAACTATTAACTACAGGTAAAACTCACATGTAAAGACAGTGACTAAGAAATCCTCTATCATCTAAGGATTTTAAAATAAACTCACCAGCCAGATGGGAGATCCCAAGTTCTAATGGAGCAATCCATTGACGCACTTATTAACCAACGACCATCAGGACTGAAAGCCTTTAAGTTAAAAAAAAAAAAAAATTATATATATTTATATGCATATATTTAACAGCTTAAAGAATGCCCAAAACAGACAATGCAGGCTTAATGAAAAAAATAAATTCAACTGAATAAATTTTTGATTACCTAATTTTACATTAAAAAATACCATTTCTGAGGGGGCGGAGCAACATGGCGGCGAGGAGACGCTGTGAGTAAGATCTCCCATTAAAAAAAGTGAATAGGGAGGAAAAGCGGCAGGTCCCAGTGAGAACTGGGCCACGGAAGATAAACGGGTGACGCCAGCGAACTGCCCGAAGAAGAAACTGGCCATAAAAGAGGACTAGAAGGGAGGGAAGCGCAGAACCCTGCTCCCCTCCCCCGCCCACAGAGGCGGCACTCTCTGACCCCTCAGAGAGGAGGAAACAACAAACCAAAACGGCCCACAAGAACAAACGAGGCAGCAAGCGGGACTGGGAGCGGAAAGGAACTATTGCAGCCACCACACCCCGTGAACGGGAGCTGAGGCGAACCCTGCAGGATCCGCCGCGGCGGTGAGCGAACGGCTCCGGGCGCCATTAGAGAAGAACAAAGACCCCGGGAGACTCGCACACAGCCCGGGCTGCTGGTAAGCTGGTGCGGAAACGCGGAGTGCTCGGCGCACTTGAAAAGCAAGTGCAGACCTGGATCGCGGCTGCCCAGGTCCCCGCGCCTGCGACCTAGGCTTGCGGGGAGACTACCTAGGCTTGCGGGGAGACACGCGGAGGTCCTCACTGAGGTGAAGGTCCCTCCCTGAGTAAGCAGGATCCAGGCGCCCAGGCACGGGAGCGGTGCAAAAGGCGCCATTCCAGCGCCACTGAACTGGGCTACAGCCCGCGTCCTGGAACTGAGGGCTTTGAACTGAGACCCGGGGCACGAAAATTCGGGGCGTGGTTTCTCCACGATGGTGGGGCACAAGGCAGACACAGCACCCCAAAGCTGTTGAGGTGTACCCTACCATTCCCGCTCTGTTCTCTGTCCCACGGGGGGGGGAGGCGAAAAACAGCCCCCCAAGGACAATAGGAGAGATCTCTGGCGCCACCTAGCGACCAGGAAAAAAAAAGTCACTAACACCCTATAAAACAGGACATTTCTTAAGACTGCTTGAAAAGGGCAGAAGGTTTCTGGAGGACCCAGTGGCCAGCCGGGAAGTTATTCCACGCCAGGCCCCTTCCGACCAGCAGTCTGAGCCCACAGAGGGAGCAGGCACCCACGTCCGGGGCAGACCGGGTGCGCAGAAGAGTGTGCCTGAAACCGGAGGCGCAGGGACTGCATCCCGCTTCGCCATTTGAGAACAGGGACATTTCTTCAGTAAAAACTGCCTAAAACCAGCAGAAAGCTCCCCCAGAAGACAGAGATGGCTCCTGGAAGAGCCAGAGGGGAGCGGAGAAGTTCACCCAAGATGTCAGTCAGTCCGAGCAACACAGTGTCCCAACGCATACGACAAATTAGAAAACAGACAGTAGGGAGTAGAAGAACCACACGCAACCTAAAAACTCCTCAGGAAAGAAGCACACCACAAAAAGAAAACCACTCCCCAGATTGCAACGACAGCAACTTGGAAGAACTTCTGAGCCTTCCAGAAAGAGAATTTAAAATTGCCATGATTAAAAAGTGATAGATCAGAAGAAGGAAATTGAGTCCCTAAAGAGGGAAGTAAGAGAAATGCAGGAGATCAAAGAATTAATGGAGGAACTAAAGAACTCTGGGAAAAGCAATGAAAGCAGAATAGATGAAATGGAAGAACGAATAAGTAATCTTGAAGACACAGAAATAAAAAGAACCAAAACAGAAAAGGAAAGAGAAGTACGAAGGAAAAAGAATGAAGAAAGACTTCGGGAACTATCTGACTCCATGAGGAAAGGAAATATAAGAGTTATAGGAATTCCAGAAGGAGAGGAGAGAGATGTAGGAACAGAGAAAATATTCATGGATATAATTGAAGAGAACTTCCCAAATGAGAAGAAGGAGCTGAAAATTGATATACAAGAAGCAAGAAGAACACCAAACTTCCACGACGAAAGGAAAAACACAGCAAGACACATAATAGTAAAGCTCCCAAGAATCCAGGACAAGGAAAAAATAATGAAGCTGACAAGAGGGAAGAAACAGATAACATTCAAAGGAAAACCAATCAGGCTGACATCAGACTTCTCTGAAGAAACACTACGGGCAAGGAGAGAGTGGAGGGACATAGTCAACAGACTCCAAGAAAACAGATGCCAACCAAGAATACTCTATCCCGCAAAGCTCTCTTTCCTCCATGAAGAAAGAATATGGACCTTCCCAGACAAAGAGAAACTCCGGAATTTCATTGCGACTAAACCCCCACTCCAAAAAATACTACAAGGAATCCTAAAGCCAGAACCTCAGAGGGACGAATAACAACGAAAGAAGACCAAAAAAAAAAAAAAAAGTTATTAAAAGAATAAATAAATAAAATCAAAGGAAAGACAAACATAATGGCAAATACAGATGCTAACATATCAATATTAACTCTAAATGTAAATGGACTAAACTCTTCAATAAAAAGACACAGAGTTGCAGCCTGGATTAAGAAACAAAACCCAACCTTTTGCTGTCTCCAGGAAACACATTTAGCTACAAAAGATAAAAATAGGCTCAAAGTCAAAGGATGGAAAACAATCCTACAAGCAAATGGGCCAAAAAAGAAAGCAGGAACAGCTATACTTATATCAGATAAAACAGACTTCAAACTCAAAAAAATAAAAAGAGACCCCAATGGTCACTACATTATGATTAAGGGGACAATACTTCAAGAAGAAATAACACTCATTAACATATACTCACCAAACAAAAGAGCACCAAAATATATCAGACAACTGTTGTCCTCTCTGAAAACAGACATCAGAGAAAACACATATGTAGTGGGAGACTTCAACACACCACTATCAACAATGGATAGATCAACAAGACAAAAAATAAGTAAAGAAACTAAAGCTCTAAATAAGGACCTAGAGCATTTGGGCTTAACAGACATCTATAGAACACTAAACCCAAAAAAAACGGAGTACACATTTTTCTCAAGCGCACACGGATCATTCTCCAGGATCGATCACATACTGGGGCACAAGACAAACATCAACAGATACACCAAGATTGAAATCATACCAACCATCTTTTCTGACCACGAAGGCATCAAACTAGAAATAAATCATAAAAAGAAGGCAAGGAACTATCCTACCTCATGGAGATTAAAAGCCACACTACTGGAAGACCACTGGACTAACGAGGAGATCAAAGAAGAAATTAAAAAATTCTTTGAATTGAATGACAAGGAGGACACCAATATCCTAAATGTATGGGATGCAGCAAAAGCAGTAATAAGAGGAAAATATATAGCAATAGAAGCTCACATCAAAAAACAAGAAAGAACTCAAAGAAACAACCTAATCTCGAAGCTCAAAGATCTAGAAAAAGAACAACAAAAAAACCCCAGAACCAGTAGAAGAAAAGAAATAATAAAAACCAAAGCAGAAATAAATGAAATTGAAACTAAAAAAACAATCCAAAAGATCAATGAAACCAAGAGCTGGTTCTTTGAAAAAATAAATAAAATAGACAAACCCCTAGCCAGGCTCACAAAGGAAAAAAGGGAGAAAGCACAAATACACAGAATCATAAATGAAAGAGGAGAAATCACAACGGACACAGCAGAAATCAAAAGAATAATCAGTAACTACTATGAACAGTTATATGGAAACAAGTTCAACAATCTAGAGGAGATGGACAAATTCCTACAACTCTACAATCACCCAAAGCTAGATAAAGAAGAAATAGAACACCTAAACAGACCAATTACAAGCAGCGAAATTGAAATGGTAATTGAAAACCTCCCCAAAAACAAAAGCCCAGGACCTGATGGATTTACAAATGAATTCTACCAAACATTCAGAGACGAATTAGTGCCTATCCTTCACAAACTCTTCCAAAAAATTGAGAAGGAAGGGACAATACCAAACACGTTCTATGAAGCCAATATTACACTAATACCAAAACCGAATAAGGACAACACAAAAAAGGAAAACTATAGGCCAATCTCCCTAATGAACACTGATGCAAAAATCCTCAATAAAATTTTAGCTATCAGAATCCAACAATGTATCCATAAGATAATTCACCACGACCAAGTTGGATTCATTCCAGGGGCACAAGGATGGTTTAACATCCGAAAATCAATCAACGTTATCCAACACATCAACAAAAAGAAATATAAAAACCATATGATAATATCAATAGATGCTGAGAAAGCTTTCGACAAAGTGCAACACCCATTCATGATAAAAGCCCTTGAAATTCTTGGGATACAAGGAACATACCTCAACATCATAAAGGCCATCTATGACAAGCCAACAGCCAGTATCATTCTCAATGGTGAAAAGCTGAAAGCAATTCCATTAAGATCTGGAACAAGACAAGGATGTCCACTCTCACCACTGCTTTTCAATATAATACTGGAAGTCCTAGCCAGAGCAATAAGACAAGAGAAAGACATCCAAGGAATCCAAATAGGAAAAGAAGAAGTCAAACTATCACTATTTGCAGATGATATGATAATATACATAGAGAACCCCAAAATCTCCACAGAAAAACTAATTCAACTCATCAATCAATTCAGTAAAGTGGCAGGATACAAAATCAACACGCAAAAGTCAGTGGCCTTCCTATACACAAACAATAAATCTGAAGAAGAAGAAATCAAAAAAACCACCCCTTTTATTATCGAAACAAAAAAAATCAAATATTTGGGAATAAATCTAACAAAAGAGGTAAAGGACCTATACAAAGAAAACTATAAAACACTGTTAAAAGAAATAGAAGAAGACACAAAGAAATGGAAAGACATCCCCTGCTCATGGATTGGAAGAATAAACATTATTAAAATGGCCATCCTACCAAAAGCAATATACAGATTCAATGCTATTCCAATCAAAATCTCAATGGCATTCTTCAAAGAA